ACTCTGTCGAATTCAGGAGCTGTGAGGGGATTACCAAAAATTATCAATAAAGAGACAGAGATATGTGGTCCTTGCCAAAAGGGAAAACAGACTCGCAAAACTCATCCTGTCAAGGTACTTCAGTCCACAAAATGTCCTTTGGAGCTGCTGCATATAGACCTTTTTGGACCTATGAAGACTGAAAGTATTGGAGGCAAGAGATTTGTGCTCATGGTGGTTGATGATTTTACAAGGTATACATGGGTATGCTTTTTAAGGAATAAGGATGACGCACTATATGCCTTTGCTACACTCTGCAACAAAGTCCAAAATGAGAAACATTCAAAAATTCAAAAGGTTATACGAGTGAGAAGTGATCATGGAGGGGAGTTTGACAGCCAACCTTTCAGCAACTACTGTGATGAACAAGGAATAGCACATGAGTTCTCAGCACCAAAAACCCCACAACAAAATGGGGTAGCCGAAAGAAAGAACAGACATGTGCAGGAAATGGCAAGAACAATGCTTCACACACAACGATTGCCAGAAAATCTTTGGGCAGAAGCCGTACACACAGCCTACTACACAATAAACCGGGTGTACATAAGAAGTGGAACTCAAGCTACTCCATATGAACTATGGAAAGGGAGAACACCAAATGTGGGACATTTTCACATTTTTGGTGCAAAATGCTTCATTCTTCGAGATCGAGAGCATAGAAGTAAGTTTGATGCAAAAAGTGATGATGCTATATTCGTGGGATACTCACCAAACAGCAAAGCCTTCAGATTATTCAACAAACGCACCAGGACAATCATGGAGTCCATTAATGTCATAGTAGATGACAAAGCACTATGGAAGAATGACAGTGACACAAGAGATGATGAACCACCTGCTGAACAGCAAACTGAAGAAGCTTCACCAACAACGGACACAGAAGATCAATCAGATGCAGAACCACAGGCAAGTCAACCAGAAGAAGTCCGAGTGCCCACTCACATTCAAAAGAATCACCCTCTAGAAAATGTGATTGGAGATCCACAAGAAGGTATGCGCACTCGGAAAAAGAAGATTGACTATGTTGAGATGATCAATGCCTTCTATACATCATCAGTTGAACCAAGAAATGTCAAAGAAGCCTTGACAGATGAAGCATGGATAAACGCAATGCAGGAAGAGCTTGCACAGTTTGAGCGAAATCAGGTATGGGAACTGGTGCCAAAACCTGAGGATGTGAACATTATTGGCACGAAGTGGATTTTTCAAAACAAAACTGATGAAGACGGCAATGTGATAAGAAACAAAGCAAGGCTAGTGGCTCAGGGATACACACAAGTTGAAGGAGTGGATTTTGAAGAAACCTTTGCACCTGTGGCAAGACTTGAATCAATCCGAATACTCATCAGCATGGCATGTGTCTGGAATATGAAATTGTATCAAATGGATGTCAAAACAGCCTTTTTGAATGGATATCTTAAAGTTCTCCAAATACATAGGGTTGGGTTTCCTAAACTTCTATGGCATGTAGGTTGTGATGTATTCAAACTACGCAAGGCACTTTATGGTCTGAAGCAGGCTCCGCGAGCATGGTATGATAGACTAACAGCATACTTATGCAAACAAGGTTACACCAGAGGAGGAGTAGACAACACCATGTTCTATATCAGGTACGGTAAAGAAATACTGGTAGCTCAGATCTATGTTGATGACATACTATTTGGTTCAACCTCAGAAGTTTATGTTGAGAAATTTGTTGAAGTCATGGAAAAAGAGTTTGAAATGAGCATGATTGGTGAATTGACTTACTTCCTGGGGCTACAGATCAAACAGACTGAGGATGGAATCTTCATATCTCAAAATAAATATGCTCTGAATATGCTAAAGAAGTTTGATATGAGTGACTGCAAAAGTGCTAGAACACCATGTCCAACACATGAGAAAATAAGCAGGGATGATAATGGAAAGGACGTTGATGCTACTCACTACAGAGGGATCATTGGAAGTCTGTTGTATCTTACTGCGAGCAGACCTGATATATGCTACAGTGTGGGAGTATGTCCAAGGTATCAAGCTAAGCCTAAAGAATCACATATGAAGGCAGTAAAAAGAATACTGAAATATGTTAAGGGCACACATAGTATGGGTCTCTGGTACTCTAAAGGTGCACCAACACAACTTATGGCATATAGTGACGCAGATTGGGCAGGCAACATTGATGATCGCAAAAGCACTTCAGGTGGATGCTTCTATCTAGCGGGCAATCTAGTAGCATGGCTTAGCAAAAAGCAGAATTCAGTCTCATTATCTACTGCAGAAGCTGAATACATAGCTGCCGGGAGTTGTTGTGCACAACTTTTGTGGATGAAGTCAATGCTAACTGATTATGGAATCCAGCATGATACTATTCCCATTTATTGCGACAACACAAGCGCCATAAATATATCCAAAAATCCAGTACTACACTCACGCACCAAACACATTGACATCAAACATCACTTTATACGTGGGCTAGTAGAAGATAAAATTGTCGCTCTTGAATATGTTCCTACTGAACATCAGTTAGCTGATATATTTACAAAGGCACTTGATGGAGAAAGATTTGAGACTCTCAGATCCAATTTGGGTCTGTGCGCACCATTTCAATAAATCATGAAGAATAAAAATGAGCACAAATAGTCAGCTAATGTGCTCAACTTTCAAGAAATCTGCTGAGTTGAAAGAAAAGTGATAGCATGCGCCGTTACACAGTAATGAGGCACACGAAGAGTCACTTACTTTATCTCAAATAGAGAAGGCGGGGTAAGAACCTCGGTATTGTCATCCGAATAAAGGGTCTTCCAAGAACCCTAACAATCAAGTCTCACAAACTTGAGCAAAAACAAGAAAGACGAAGATGGTGAGAATCAAGCATGCACTCCCGAAACGATGGAAGGGAAGATCTGCACTAAAAAGAGAACTCTGGGCAAAACATCGCTGGACGCGTCTACTGGCTTCAAAGGACGCACAACAAACCGATGTTCATCTTCAAACACAGGCGGCAAAAGAAGACGAAGAAAATCTCCCACAACCCAATCTGGAAGAATCAAGCATGGAGCAACCAGATTCAAGATCTGTAGACGCTGAAGTCAGAAAAGACACAAAAGATGATGTGATTCCACACCCTGTAGCCACAATCCCAGAAACACTCTACCTAGAGCACACGTCACGCAACAAGAAGAGAACATGCAAAGCAAAAAGAAGGAAGATCTGCAGTCAGAGAAGGAAATACCAGAGATTGTGGATGAAGAACCTTTACTAGCATGCTCAGATGTGCCTTTTGAAGATGTACAATTCACAACTCCAGCATCCAAGAAAGCAATGACGAAACGCACTGGATCCAGATGGTCGCTGCGCCAAAAGGCAAAGGAGAATCAAGAATCAGAAGGGATTGAAGAAATTCAAACAAAAGAAGTGAAAAAGAAGGAACTAAAGCGAAAGGAGAAAACAACGGATGACCAGGAGGAGAGCTCAAAGAAGCAGAAAACATCATCTCCCTCAGCAAAACACACAATCAGAAGTCAGATCAACCAAAGGAAAAATGCAAAAGCAGAAAAGTCACCCAAACCAGGGAAGTTTTCTAAACATCTGTTTGTTTCATCAATTACTAGCTCATACATGTCTGAAATTGCCAAGAAAACCATTCTGCCACAAAGAAGTATTGATGTTGAGGATTTTGAAGCAAAAACAAACTTAATCCCTGTGCTGAAAAAGTGTAATTTGCTTAAATCAATTACTCTGTCTGGTTCCTACGTGAGAAAAGTCATTCAAGAGTTTTACTGCAATTTGTCTGAGGGTTGCAACATTCACACTAACTCTTCATACCACAAAGTGTTTGTGAGAGGGAAAACCTTTGATCTGTCCCCTACCAAAATCAATGAGTTTCTAAACATAAAACCTCCCTCCTTTGAAATCACTGTGAATGAAAGACAAGTCTGGACTGACCTCACAAATGGTGAGCGTATATCTCAATCCACCAAGTCAAAAGTGCCCTCGTCCATCCTCAAAAGTTCCTATGCCATACTGTTCAGGGTTGCTGCATATCACTGGCTCCCAACCACCCATATGAACACAGTCCCACTCTGCATAGCCACACTCATTTACAAAATCAAGCATGAGATACCTGTGAATCTTGGAAAAATCATCTTTGACCAGATCATGAGCTTTGCATCTGAGAGGGCCAAACAGAATTCTAATGGGCTTCCTTATCCTCTTCTTATTTATCAAATGCTCAAATCTGAGAAACTTGTAGTTGCAGATGAAGAAGAACCTGCTCCTCCTCTTCTCCAGGTTGATTTAAGGCACTTTGAAGGAAGACATTACAATGACATGGCAACAAGGGAAGAACAGAAGACAGCCCCAGCAATTCTTCAGTCAAACTTTTCCCAAACAGCCTTCATCAAAGGAGAAATTCAGCTGATGCAAGAGAAGATTGAGGAATACAAGAAGCTGATCAAAGAAGCTGAAATCAAAAAGAAAAAATGGGCCATTATCATGTCATCTCTGGACACCACTCCAGATGAAGTTGCTAAATCTCAGGGGGGGAAGCCCAAGCAAGATGAGTCAGATGATGCTGCAACACAGGGGGAGCAAAGTGAAGATGATGAAGCCACTGAGGAAGGAGAGGACAACGCAGATGCAAAGGATGATAACCTAGCAAATGAAGATTCAGACTTTGAGGCTGAACTCCACAAGTTTGATGATTAAACTCCACAAGTTGTTTTTTTTTTTGCAAAACACTACTGTTTTTGGCTACTCACTATTTTGATGGGATTGTTCTGTCCCTTATGTTTTGGCATGGATTCATCAACTCATATTTTTGCTATGTGCATTATGATATGGGTATGTTATGGTGAGGATTGCTGCTACCTAATATTTTGAAGGTATTGTTCTGTCCCTTATTTCTGCACATGGTCTCCTGATTTTCACTCAGGTCTTTGCACAGGTAGGATGACCATTTTTGCGGTGTCTAAGTTGCAAAATGTACACACTCTTGTATCCAGTTGTCTAAATATTACTCTTCTCCAGTTAATTAAATAATACACACTTTTGCCTTTGGCATATTTTTTCCAAAAGGGGGAGAAGAGTTTTAGACCTGGCTGAGTGTCAAGTGATTGTGTTTGTCAAAAATAGCCAAAGGGGGAGATTGTTAGGCCCTTAATATTTAGCATTTGTGTTGGCATTCTTTTTGACAACACACAATTACTAGTTTAGTGTAGAAGTGTCCTCATAATAGAAGAATTGTGTTGTTAGCATTATTGGTCATTCTATCTGGACAAGGACGCTAGGACGCTACGCTGGAAGACATCTGCTCAAGCTAAACAAGGACTCCTCCCTGGATTAAACGAAGTAGTATGCGCAAGAGTTCTAGGGACAAGAGGTTAGGGTTTCATCCCATGCTAATCCAGAAGTATAAATACGAGATTGCAGCTTGGCAGAGTAGTGCGAGAATTTACACATTCGGCTAAAAGAGAGTACTGACAGATAATTGATATATCAAAGAGAAGAGCATATCATAGATATTCACGTGAGGCTACAGTGAGAAGATCAGCCATGGATCTTCTCTGAAGATTTGTTCAGCTTGGGCATCGTGTGGAGCTGAGCAAAGGTTAAGAACACATCCTTATTGCAGAGCAACGAGAAGGTGTAATAGGCCTAGTTTGACACAAACAGAGTTTGGTGTCTGATCACGTAAGTAGACAACTCTGTTCAATAGAAGGGTCTGTTGAGTTTGATTGTGTAATTCTTATGATGATCTAATGGAAAGGCTATTACACGGATGTGGGCCTCGCAGACGTAGGAGAGTTGGCTCCGAACTGCGTAAACAAATTTCTGTGTCTTTGCCTACTTTCGTTTTGTTTTGTTAGGTGTTAGAAAAGGTGTTGTAGCATTCTGTGAAACTTAGTTGTTGCGCTACAGCACAATTTCTAACCACCTTCTGCTGTGATAAGTGTGTGTATCTTTGGTTTATATACTGTGCTGTGGGTGTGGAAATTTCAAGAACAACTCCTTAGTCCTCAAACTCACACTCGTAGCTGGCATTTCATCATATTTATCATCACTTTTTGGGGATGGTGATTAAATATCTAAAACTTCTACCCTATTTCCTTTGTGTTTACACAAACCTAATAACACCACTTCAATTGTATGAGTGGTAATAAAATCTACATTGCTAAAAGGAAACAGCCGGTTTAAATTATTTTGTAACACCACAGTGCCCTATGTACGAAATTTTTAAATCCAAGAAATTTTAAAATTATTTTTTAATGCAAGAAATTTTTATGAAACTTAGTTTATACCTACGTCAAAGTTGGAATTTCTCATGAGAAAAAAAGTTTAGTTTTCCAAGTAGGCAAATTATTACATGCACCTATGGTCCATGATGGACCTTCATATATGTTAAATAAGCATTTTCAAGTATTGAAAAAAGCATTTTTTAAATTTAAAAAAATTGTGAGAATGTCCAGGCACTCCTTCCCCGTTTTCTGCAAATTGCAAACCGTGGATGGAGTAAAATCAAACAAATAATAATAATAATAATAATAATAATAATAATAATAATAATAATAATAATAATAATAATAATAATAATAATAATAGAAGAAGAAAAGAAAAATATGGGAGGGCGTAGAAGGAAAGGAGGAGGAGGAGAAGAAAAAAAAGAAAAGAAAAAAGAAGGCCGAAAGATGGTGAAGAAGAATAAAAGGTTAACGGAGGATGGAAACTGACAGAGAGAATGATGGATTGTCACTCCGGAGTAACTTTTTGGAAATTTTAAGGTACCCCGGAGCCTAGTTCGTTAATACGCGTATAATACACGTATTATACTTACGTACGTATAATACACGTATTATACTTACGTACGTATAATACACGTATTATACTCACGTATCCGTATAATTTTCAAAAATACTTTAAAATACACGTATATTTGATACTATACGTATAATTACGTATAGTACGTATGAATTGAATATTTCATTATAAATTTTTTTTGTACAACAACAAACATTAATTTGTTTCAAAAAATATTTAAACAAAATACGAGTAATACTTCATATCAGTTATACATACAATACTCAATCAATTTGAAAAAAATATATACTCCCTCCGTCTCATTTTACATTGTGTGTATTGAATTTGTGCATATTTAAGGAAGTGAAAAAATATTGTAGATTTTCCAAAAATGTCCTTACTTTTTTAGGAGGGTGGCGATGAATGAGAAGACAAGGTGGAGAGGAGTGGCTTAGTTTAGGGATAGTTTAGGTATTTTACTTTTAAAAGTTTACAATAATAAGAAACATGCAACTTATTTTGGGACGGATAAAAAAGGAAAACAGACAATTCAAAATGGGACGAAGGGAGTACTATCTACATTCTACAAAGAATTTTACACTGTTTTGTCACATTCAAAAAAAGACTTCACTCTTTCTCTTTTTGTATGTCTCAAAAATTCATTTTTTAAGAAAAGAATAAGTAACTCACAACTCTTATTTTTTTCTAAATATGTTCAAACTATAAAGTTTTTATTTTTATTATTTTTTTAAACTACGTACGTGAAAGTCAAATAAGGATATTTTTTCAAATGATGGGAGTATATATTTTTTTCAACTAGATATGTTAAATAAATAGATATTCTAATTTGAAAAAATCTATTGTAAATATTCCATTTAAAATGTTTTGTATTTTATATGACTATCAATCGATAAATGTGTAAATTTGACATATATGATAATATATATAAACATATAATAAGACGTATTTTAAAAGTAGAAAACGTTTGAAACGTGTACGCATCCATATCCGTATGCCAAACGTTTAATATGCATCGTAATCCGTATTTTATAAAATCCTAACATATTATACACGAACGTATGTATTTATGTATTATACATTTGCCGTATATTACTAACTATGCCCCGGAGTACATTTTAAAAAATAATGAGACCTGCGAGTTGTTATCACATAATTGAGGGTATCCAGGAGCAATTTTTTGAAGAATATATGAGTTGCTTTGGTTGATAGGGTACGGTGGGGAGACGTAGTTAAGTAAATGAATGTAGAAATAAAGAGGGGTAAAAGGATCTTTGTATTAGTTTTTTATTTTCATATTAGGAAATGGGAAGAAACCAGTGGAACGACTGAAAAAGGAAAGTAAGAAGAAAGATATGAGACGGAGGGAGTATTTCACCAACTAAAGAGAAGGAATGATAACAAAAGAGTATTTCAATTTTTTTTTAATATTTGTATATTCATCTACAAAAAAATAATACTCAGATTAAAGTATATTTACATATAATGATTCTTAAACCAAATTTTCAAAATAAATGTATTAATAATTAAAAAATATAAAAGATTTATTATTTTTATAGTATATTAGTATATATGTTCGGTTTGGGATACTCAATATGTGAAGTTACCCCGTACCGTTTCTAAATATTCACTCGACCATTCGGTTCGGTACTGTTCGATTATTTTGCGATATTTTATTGATTCAGTATTTTTTGATTTGGTATTCTCAATATTTTTGGAAAGTTTCAGGATCAGTTCTATAACTTTTTCACCCTTAATTTTCATGACCCGACTAAAATTAACCCGGATTGAATATCCAAATATTGGATCTAACGAGTTACTTACCCAAAGTACACCCAATGACTCAAGTCCTAACTCGTATGCTATGTCTAATTACTAGGGGTGGACGAAAATATCGAACTAACATGGTTCCATATCGTACCGAACTATTTATAGTGTTTTAAAACATGATTGATTTTTTCCATCCCGAACCAAAACTGAATCGATTATCAAACGGGACGAGAATTTGATACAAAAATTAAAAATTGATTATCATAGACTAAACTATTCAAAGTTATCTACGAAGTATGTCAACTACATATTTATCTACATCACCTTACCATATACTCTCCCCGTCCCAAATTAATCTTTTACCTTTCCTTTTTAGAAATCTTTTGGTGGCTTACTTTTTTTGTCTATCATCTGCATCACTTTCAATAATGCAATTTTAATTTTCTTAAACTCTGTGCAAAGTCAAAGGGTGAGAATAAAAATAGAACGAAGGGACTACATATATGGAGTACTTCATATTGTTTTATTCTTTTCTTTAATATGTTTTCATTATTATCGTTATTATATTTATTACTATTATTAGCTTTTTTTAGAATTATTAAGTCTGATATTGTATGAATTACAAAACTCTTACTTTTTAAATTTGAACGTGTTATCTTTTATTCTACTTCCTTGGGAAACCCTTCCCATTTGGACTTAATGCTAAATTAAGAAAGTGCTAAATTGTAGTTGACTTTTAATTTTGCTCATGATATAATGTGTAAAAATAAGATGTGATTAATAGATTATTAGAAAAAAATATAATTTGTAATTGGTAGGGTATGAAAAACATGGGTTAAACATGGTTTTTTAATAGAAAATGGAAGTGTTTTGTTGGAAATGAAAAAAAATAAAAGAGGAAAGGTTTATCCAAACGCAAGGAGTATATATGTTTATGATCCTTTTAAATTTAAAATCATTTCTTTTTTTAACAAAGTTATGTTTTTATGTATAATTGTGCTTTTGTTTTAATATTTTTTAATATTTTTTGAATAATGAATTTTTAGTTTTTTTGCACAATTTAAGCATGTGTATGATATTAGAGCATTGCATTCAAAACGAAATTCTACCAAATGGTTTTGTGATAAATTTTGATAGTTTCACGTACAGTCATTGAACATGTCCACCCCTACTAATTTCACCATCTAGTTTGCGACAGCTTATTAGTGATTCCAGTAGTAGAAAATTACTCTAAGTATCTTCGGTTTTCTGAAAATAACTACCAGGTCCTAAATTATCTAAAATATACTCTAGTTATCCTTGATTTTTAAAAATATTCTACCAGAATCTTTAAAATTAGTAGTAATGTATTTTGAGGGTACATTTTGTATGTTTGTTCCCTAGGATTAAAAGATCCGGTATTGATGGATACTCTGGAATGGAGATATCCGGCCCAACAGAAAAGCGGCCCAACCCAACCATGCCTAGACCCACCTAGCTGGGCGAGGACAAGAGGAAACTGAAGTCTCAAGACAGATGCAACCGCATCAAGTCAAGATCGGCCTCGGCAAACTTATTCAGCCTCGGACAACCCTCGACCGGCCTTTCGTCGGGAGACTTCAGTGAGCAGATCATGCATACTCGGCCTCGGCCCGAGGTGTCAGCGGACCAGAGCCATAGGCATGGGAGTTCCCTAATTGGTCAAATCAAGGGTCCCACGATTGGACCCCTGCCACACCTCTATCGGAGTTGTTTTAGCCACCCTATTTGTAACCTATTTTATATAGCCGCCCTAGGAATAATGATGTGGTTAGGCGTCGCCGGTGAACAACCAAATTTTAGTGGGCCCGATCCGTTGGGCTCTGGACCAACGATCGGGAACCCCATCTGTAGTTTGTATATAAACCCTCTCTTGAGAGGAAGAGGTCCACGTTTTGACTAGCACACTAATATTTACAAAACTACTTGATTACCAACTTGTGCACTCTCGACTCTGTTCGATACTCTTTCGCCTAGTCTCCTAGGCCCCAGGTTCCTTAACCCGAAAGTTATTTAAAAAAATATTAGATTTTACTTTGATAATCATTATTTGACTGAATTTAAATAAAATCTAGCTTGAATTTGTCAAAGTAAAAAAACTTTCAATCCTAATGCATAAACGAATAGAATGTGCTTGGAGCATAATATTACATATTTAAGGTTTTCGAAATATACTTTAGATAATATGAACCTTAAAAATTCTTACCAGATAATCAAAAATATCAAAATTTCAGATAATTTAAGACATGTGACTTATTAACCGAAAATCCAAGTGAGCCAGAGTAATTTTGGGTTCCAGTAGTCCTCTTATTTTGAGATTTTTCTTTCCAAACTAGGTCTGGACACAGTATCGATACGGTACTCTGTTACCGTCAACAGTACTTCCGGTATCAGCTACCGTCACCGCCGGCCGTTACGTCACCGCTGGCCTTTTAAATGTAGTTGTTTGTCAGTTCGTGTATTACTCATTTTACAATATTTAAATAACAACTACATTTTTAGATTTTTTATTTCATTATTTCCTTTAACAATTACACATTTAGAATTTTACACTTTTAAAAATTTAAAAAAAGCAAAAAAAAACAGGGGTGGCTTAAATCTGCCGGCCCGGTACCGGAACCGCCGGTCTGGGTACCGGCACCGTCTGGTCCGGTCACGGTACCGGTTCCTAAGGGTGGCGGTTCCGGAACCAGAACCGTCCCCGAACCGTACCGTGTCCACCCCTATTCTAAACTAAGCAAAAAAATACTCTCTTCGTCCATAAATAAACTTCCCGTTGCGCGTTACGATATTTGATTGAAATTATTTTCAAATCATTTTATATCAAAAATGGTGTAAAATTTAAAATTAAAAAGTACATATTAAAAAATTATATCAAAAGATCTACAAAACTAGAACTGACATTACTATATTAATTTGTCCAATGAGTAACAAAATTAGGCAAACAAAAACTGAATAAAGTTTGGTATGGTAGGGAGTAAAAAAAACCGGCAACGTTATCTAAACCAGATAGACGGAGCAGCGGCGAATTGAAGCAGACGACGACGATGATGGTGAAACAAGGATGCCTGCCATTGAATCACTGCCCGCCATCAGTAACCATTCTCAAAACCCACGATCTTAAACCCACTTTTATGTCCACTCTCGAGCCTTTCAATCACACATCACTCAGACGCCGGATGCTAGCCGTTGTCAACCAGTCGCTAGCCAAGGAAATCTCCAAGAAATCTACTCAATGGATTCGTAGTCATTTCAAGGTACTGATTTTCAATCATTTAGTTTTGGATTTCTTTCCCCCAATGTTTTATTTCATGGTTTTGTTCATTTTAGCTATGTGAAAGCCGAGATTCGGATTAGACATGCTCTACTGACTGCTGAGAGAGTGAGTATTCTGCTCAATTCTATTTGGTCATGGCCCGGTTATGTTCAACATAGCTTCATCCAGCAATTAGTAGCTTAATTTCAGTGTCTCTTTTGTATTTAGATCTGCAACTTTTGGACTTGGCTTGTGCTTAAGTGTGAGTTAATTAAGATAACCTGTCAGTATTTTATGATTACAAACATTTACCTAGCCGCTCTATGAAACTACGAAAGCTGAAGAAAACACAACTCGGTCATAAACGAATTAGGGGGTTGGCAAAATGAACATGCAATGTAGCTACTAAGACTTCGTTTACTGTGGGTTCTAGCTGTATAACATTATCATATATGATGTATAATCTACTTTTGAATTAGCTTTCTATTCCAATAAAACTATGATAGGACAAACGTGGTGTGTAAAATAATTGGTTTACTGTTGGTGGACAACATATTCATGATCCAAATTTCTACGTTTTTGTCCAGTGGTTTTGCATTGGACATATCCTTCTTCATTTATATAATCTCCATTTGAGTAGGCTTACAATGTCATTCCCATGGCAGGAAATGGTGGCTTGTAGGATTCCCACAATGCCACTTGTTATTGCTAATGCATGGTTGATATCGACGCCATTAGAAGCCATGGCAGAAACATGTGTAGCTGATAAATCCACCTTCAATATGCCATTGTTACTGTTTGTTTCCCTTATTGGGGCGACTGTTGGAGGTATGCATTTCATCTTTTTCCACCTTCAATATTTGAGTTCAACATTTTCCTTTTTATTTTTTTGAACTATTTTCCTTATTACTCTACTCAATGCTGTAAAATTGGCTGGGTGTCCACTAGGCAGCACTCTAGAGCCTAGCTCCTAGTCAGGGATTAATCAGGGCGAGGCGGGATTAAAATGGAATTAGGTAGAGCCTCTGTGCAAAATAAAATACTTCAGGGTGCCCGATGAGAGCCACATGGGTTAATCAAGGGCTCAAAGCTAGGCAGGGATTTTTACAATAGTGACTATAATCTTTTACTGAGGTGCTATCACTTTGATTGTGAGGACATAAAGAATTTTGTTATTGTTGCTTAGAAGAAAACATGTGGTTTATCCTCCTCAACCTATTCACCAATACTTACAATGATTCTCTGGTTATTTTTATTAGAAATCACCTTTTTTTGCGTTCTATTTATAGTTTAAGTTATGTTTCATGTTGTGCATGTTGATTTTACAATATGAATCTGCAACAGGAAAATAATGACTATATCAACTATCCCAACTTGTTTCTTTCTCATGTTGTTTTCCATGTAAGTGGGAAAAATCCGTATGAAATGTCATGTCCTTAATTCATTATTCATTCTTCCTTCATTAGACTAATGCGGCAAAAATGGCATCTGACGTTAAACTTTACCGTTGTGGTTTTTCATTTGGATCTAAAATTGTCAAATGACTTTAAACAATAGAAAATTATTTGCAGGACTGCTTGCTCGACAAAGACGGGGAGAATTGGAGCGGGTGAATGAACAGTTGCGTCAGATAAACACTGCTTTGAGAAGGCAAGCTAAAATCGAGTCTTATGCACCAAACTTAAGTTATGCTCCCATTGGTGGAAAGATACCAGAAACTGAAGTGATTGTAGATCCCAGAAAGCAAGAATTGATTTCTCATTTGAAAAATGGGAAGAACTTTCTTAGGAATCAAGCCCCAGAGAAGGCATTTTCAGAGTTCAAAACAGCACTTGATCTTGCACAAAATCTAAAGGACCCAATAGAGGAAAAGAAGGCTGCAAGGGGATTAGGTAAGTCTTTTCCTTTCCGTTTTCAGAATATGAAAAGACCTTTTTGTTGATTTTTACACCTTCATCAAGGACAGCCTTCTACTAAACGCCTCGAATATAAAGATATTATATGTGTATGTGAAGTTTCTGTGTACCATGTTTCCAATATTCATTGAATGGGCCTCATGCACGCACTTTGAAGACACTAGAATCTACATATATGAGCTAAAACATCACGGGCTTAATTGCAAGGGGTATGTACTTGGGATTCAGCTTATGTTAGCTGCCAGCATTTTCAAATTGTAAAAATACATATCTTAAAATACTTATTTAAATGGATGTTTATGAACATTTGTGCTTAAATAGTTACTGGATAATTTTATAAATGTTGATTGAATAAATATAGCAGTAACTTGGTAAAAAATGATGGGCTGTCTAGGTTCATATTGTGGATGGGTCAGCACTGTTCAAAATGTTGTGGACTAACAAATAGTTCACTTAAGAGTACCAAGTCATTCAAATCCTAGGACATGAAAATAGGCTGTTCCAAATTGAAGATGCATGTAAGTAGGTCATCCCAAATTTTAGGACCATGAGAGTTTCTCAAACTGCAAGAGCACCAAAGTAGGTTTGTCCATACTTCAGGGGAACCATCAAGTTTTGCCTTAAAATTGAATAACATAACCATAAAATCACACAGGTAGAATGAATGTAGTTAATGAGTGCACTACATCTTGTACCCGATTTTTCTTCAGTAATTTTCTTCATAAAAAAATGCAACTCGTTGCTCATTATATAATGCAGTTATAATAAAGAACTCCCCATTTGTTTCAGGAGCGTCCTTGCAAAGGCAGGGCAAGTACCGGGATGCAATTAAATACCACTCTTTGGTTCTAGAAATATCAGCAAGGGAAGGAGAGGATTCTGGGAATACTGAAGCCTATGGGGCAAATGCTGACTGTTACACTGAGCTTGGAGATTTGGAGCGAGCGGGCAAATACTATGACCAATACATTGCCAGATTGGAAATGGATTGACCTCTTCGGCATTCACTTCTCCACTTTCACTGTGCTTACCAAGGTTTCCCATTTTCCTAAATGACTTTCTGAACACCTCTCTCTCTTCTCAACATGTAGTACTCATGAACTAAACACGCCAGACATTGCATAGGGGATAATTAGGAGAGAAAGAGAGAGAGAGCGAGAGTGAGTAAGTGAGAGAGAGAGTGCCATTTCATCACTTTATGTATGATATAGCCTGTTTGGCTAAATGTAATGTTACATGAAAAGTGCAATTTGTGCCCCATTTTGAGACCACATTTGACACTTAGAGACATCCGGTTTTGTTCTGTCTCTCTGGATGCCTATAAGAAGGTTGGTGTCAAATGTGGTGTGCACTTAGCATGGTTGAATGCTACAATGACACCAGGGGAGGTCGTCTTTCATATGCTTTCTAGTCCTTAGCTTGATTCGTGGGTGGAGAACAATGTTTTTGTTCTTTGTGGATAATTCTGGAACTTGCAACTAATGGCACCATCTCGGGCCCCCATTTGCTACCTCAACCGGAGTTTTGGGGTAGGGGATGCGGTACCGGTTCGTTAAACTGCTGGTGGTTATGCTTCTTAGTACGACTAAATATTTACCCCCTAAATTGTTAATCTTTTAAACTTACACTACCCGTTGTTATTCCGCCTTTGACTTTCGTCAAGATCTTTTTTGTAAGTAGATGAAGGAGGCGGTTCGAAGCAATGGTACTTTTAAAGAGGTTTTCTCCCTCAGTTGAAAATCATTTATGAGAACCACTCTAAGGATTTGCTATTTTCAATTAAATTCATTTATACAAAGTCCAATATCTAGTTTCGGACTTTGATTTTTAGACATACGGTGTTCTGTTTTCAGGATCTAATCTCAAAATTTAGGACGAACTTTGTAATGCTCACTTTGTTCGGATTTTGTTTTCCTTGGAGCATTTTTTGTTTTTGGATTGTTTTTTGTTTGTTTAGGATTAGCTGTTCACTTTTAATCTCTTATAAAGAAATTACGGAGTATGATAAATTGTATTAAATATTTTAGAGCTATAGTATATGCATTGTTAACATTTTAATCGCATTTTTTTTAATAATGAGATTTTTTACAATGATCAAAACTAAACTCGATACTGAGGGAGTATATTATAATACGGAGTACGAAGTACATGTTAAGTTGGCATTCTCAATCTCTAGTCCACACTTCAGCTTATAAAGTTAAAACTTCACTCTACCTAAAATTAGAAATGAGGCCGGTTCCCATGGGAACCAATGTCATGGGATGACCCGGGAGTGCTCCGGTGTCCCGTTCGTAAAATTGACGGTTCCTACCCCTCTAACCCCCCGGTGAACCCCCCACTCCGCCCCGACCCGAACACCCCCCTACCCCCTTTAATTGCACCCCCGAAGTTGATTTGACTTTGGAGTCAAAATTTGAAATTCACCGGAGCACCTCCGGATCCTCCCATTACACTCTAGTTAAACTTTACAATAAAACTTCACACTACCTAAAATTTGAAATTCACTCTCGTTAAACTTTACGTCTCAACATTTTTATATTTTATCTTTAAACTCGCCTATAAAAAACCCTCTGTTATGTGTTATATTTGACAAATTATATCATATGTTTTGTATTTTAAATAGGTTATATTTAAAATAGACCGATATTATGATATGACACTGATGTCATATTATGAGCTCAAATGGGGCACAAAGACTATAGTGTCAAATGTGGAGACACATACATTTAGTATCTTCTTTTTCAAGTAATGACAATATGTTCTGTAATCCAACTGTTAAGAGGCTAGTGATGAATCTTGTGTTGTTGGTTTCCTTGCTGTTACAATTCTAGTCACCAATGTGCCGTGCAACAAAATGGAAACACGCAAGAACAAATGTACACATAAACCTTTCATATCTACTACTTTGAACACCGGACTAAAGGAAAAATTCTCAAAGCTAAAACACTGCATCTGATCCAATAGAGATATATATCTACAACTTCCCTTTCTGCGTTGATTTCGTGCTTCATGTACCACTTCTTTAACCTGTGACAAGAATATAAAATGGAAAAATTACAGCACATAAAATGGAGGTGGAAGTTTGTTACCGGTTATGTAATGATACCAGATCATCTGTTAAGAATCCATCCGGTTATTTGTTAAGAATCCGCACTCCCAATATTTGTTACAAGGACGTTCTCTTCTCGCATCTGGTCCAATGGGGTTGAATCTTCAGCTTTCCTTTTCTGCATTTAATTTGTAATTTATTTAATACAAAGACAGTTAAAAATGAGTACATCAAATAATGGAAACTGTACACACCTTGCATGTTGTAGCATTGTGTCCAGCATCCTGACAAATGCCACACTTTCGTTGGCCACTCATTGCGACCTCATGAAGACTAGATTTCCACCATTTGTTTTTTTCTTTTCGACCCTTTGTCTTTGAAACGTTGGGGTTTAAAAGCACTTGCAAACTACACCGTGTTTTTTCAGGTTCGGGCAAAGTGGGATTTGAAGATACACCCGAAGCCTCTGCGCCATCACCATCGAGATCATTTTCTCTCGCATGGATAAAACTTTCAATTTTCTGGATTCCATCTTGGTATATTGTAGTTGCAAAATGATAGGTCACATCATCCCTACAAGCAAGACTTGCTATTTTCTCGGCACAGTGATTTAAATTAAGCACTCTCTTCATAAATTTACTCTTCTCATCTGCATTGAGATAAATAAATACATCTAAAGGCTGACTTGCGTCTTTACACCATCGATGCAATATGTATGCTTCCGGAATCCGAAGGACATTTTTGCAGTTAAATAACTTCAAAATGTGACGACATAATATACCATTCCACAAAAATAACCCGCAAGAACAGCTCACTGTATTAACAATGCCTTCATCTAAGGATTGCATATCAATATCTACGACGTAGCATTCTTTTGGGTTAGTAACATGTCGCACAATGTACTCCTCACCTGGGCCAACATAGTCTTTTACTTTTACGTACTTGTACCTATCCACTTGGACCAATTCCGAGTAAAATTCTCGATACATATTGCGAGTATATACCTCAGCTGCGTGCTCCTCAAGGAAGGAGTTTCGATCACAACTCCTATTTTTGTGTCGACTTTCATAATCTTCATGCCGCATCATCTCGTACAGATGTTCCATAAGAATATCATATTCCTGAATAAATTCCAGTAAGGAGGACCCCCAATTCATTTTTGAGCTGAATAGAGAGTTCACAGTTTTTGCTAGTTGACTTGCTTGCATCCCTGCGAACGAAACATTAAATGTAAAATTGGGTTTGTTAAAATTAAACGAAATAGTTGAGAGAGAAAATTAATTATAAACGTATACCTGCAAAGAAAGTGTCTACTGTGTACACAGGGACCCACTCTTCTCGAATGTGAAAGAGATTTTGTAGCCATTCATTTCCTTGTAGTCCATATTTATTTATCATTTCCAACCATTGCTCATCAAAGTGAGCTCTGGACAATGACGTTTGAATGAGAACTTTTAGCTCTTTTTTGAATTCTTTATATTTGTTGTCAACCACTGGAAGATTCTCCGGGAAATTCTTTAGTATATGCCAAATACATAATCTATGTCGAACGTTTGGGAAAACAACTTTGACAGCATTACACACCACACTATCTTGATTGGTAATCATAGAGACGGGCTCTTTTTCCTCCATTGCTTTTAGCCATGTACGAAATAACCATTCAAACGTCTCTTGTTGCTTATCCATGATTAGGGCACATCCAAATAAGATGTTTCTTTTGTGATTATCAACACCAATGAAAAGGGCTAAAAGCATCTCACATTTATATGTGTGGTATAACGTTTCGAAGACTGTGGCATCACCAAAAACTTTGTAAGCCATCCTAGATCTTGCATCAACCCAAAAAAAATTCGACATCTTGCCTTCATCATCAATTTGCACGCGATAAAAGAATCCGGGATCCAACTCTGATTGATGCGTACAGTATTCAAGAACTCCTTGTGCATCATCAATATCGAGAATCTTATCTTTCATGTGGTTATAACAATTACGTTGACTAAGACAGCCTTTACCAAACATAGCCACCTTTCCTATTGTTGTGCCATGGTCTTTGAACATTTCAATCATGAGTTGGTCGCTTTCGTCTACAACCTCTCCGTTGGGCATGAAGTGCGCCTTGTTTGGAGTGACAATATTATGATTGTGTTCGGGCGTGAATGACAAGATAATCCACTTTCCAATTTTAGGTTCGAATTTCAAACTAATTGCATGTTGGCAACCAACTCTCACAGAAGCCGTTTTTCTTCTTTTCTTACCATCCACATCGACCTGTTTACATTTGACAGAGTTGAATCCCGCTTTTCGACAAACCCACCTCAAGTACTTATCTCCTCTACTAGTACGCTTTCTTGCATAAAATCCATTAGATGAATTGTATGCTTTGTAGAGTTCCTCAAAAGCTTCAACACTATCAAAAGTCATGCCAACTACAGGTGTATTTCTAGTTGGTGTTGATTGAGGCTCTTCATTGATCACTTTTGTGGGTGTTGATGATGACGCACCTAAACCAAGAACAGTAATGGGAGTGCGTAACTCTGGCAATTCCACAGCATAAGTTTCTTGCACCAAATGGAGGTCAGAGTTTATAGAAGTCGCGGACTGCTCCATCCCTTCAATCCGGATAAACTGGTTTCAAAAAAATCAAGCAAACAAAAAATTGTGCATCTCTAGGCCAAAATGAAAACAGAAAACCTAAAAACTCTTAACTGAAAATGCCAAATTTTCATCAATGTTGATCTGTTTGATTTTAACTAAATTCCAATCTTAATCACAATGTGAATATTGAAACGCTTCTAAAGGCGGTTGGCATCTTACCGTTGTCTCCGTCAGAAGAAGGAGGAACTGCTCGCAAGCTTCAGGAGCTACTGATTAGACGCCGCGGGGAAGCCTGAGAACGCACGGAGGAGGGCTGCAGGTTCGCGGCTGGGGAGACGTTTGAGGCCGCTGGTTCTTCTTCCTCCGGCGGTTTCAAGGGAGAGGCTCCCTGGCGTGGGCGCAGGTTGAAGGAGGACGGGGTTCACAACTTTGAGAAAGAACCGTCCTGACAGGTCAGATCTTCTCTCGATACGAATGAGCCTAACTCCTCTCAATCTCTTGTTCAAAGTGCGGTTCGGCTCGGTTCGCACTCAAATCCCATTTCTAGACACTAGATCATATTGCAAAATGAAATAGAATCGAAACTGATTCCCCGAGTCGAATGATTCTAAATTGAAATTGAAACCGGAATGAATCAAAAAGAAAAGATTGGACCCATTACTCAATAACTAAAATGATCCGAACAAAATTGAAGTCGAACTAAAAATATTCATATCCGATTTAAGTTCGAAATCGATTAGATCCGAAACTCATAAGATTGAAAACCGATAATACTTGATTCCAATAAAATCCAAAACCGATAAGAACATAAACTGATAAGATTCGAAACCAATTTTATCCTAAATTGGTTCTGCCTGACAATAAAATCCAAAACCGATAAGAACATAAACTGATAAGATTCAAAACCAATTTTATCCTAAATTGGTTCTGCCTGACAATAAACATACTCTCTCTGTCTCAAAATGTTTGCCACATTTGATTTTTCAACAGTCACAAGAATTTTTATTTATTTGTACGATTTCATTGATTATTTGATAAAATAAAATATTCTTGACACCTTTTATTTTGAAGAATTTTTCATTTGTTTTTAAATATTTAAACTTTATTTTTTATTTCTATACAAATATTTAAATAAAATGAATTGAAAGAATTTGATATTTTGCCTCGTTTTTTGAAACGTGGTAAACATTTAGGGACGAAGGAAGTATTATATTTATTTATATTTATGTACATTAGTGAATAATTATATTCATGTAATTTGAAATTTTTAATTTTATTTTACCATTTGAACTAGTTGTATACTTATGTTACTTACGTTCGACGTCCCAAAATGAATTACAATACCTCATTAGACTCAATTATATTTGATTAGAACATAATATTATCTTTGTAATCTTGGAACACACTTTACAATAATATTGTACTAGAGTGATGTTCGGTTTTTGATAAGTTTTGATGAATGTCAAATCGTCGTGGATATGAAAGAAGCTTCGTTCAACATCTCAAGGCATAAAACAATGCTTACCACAAGATACCAAAGCATCAAGAACAAAGATCAAGACGAAGGCTTAGGTTGAATTGGTCTTATTGTGATCAAGACTGGCATTGGTTCTCAAGTCTTGGTTCTCAAAAGCTAAAATATTTTTTTACAAAATCAAGAAATCATTTTCATGTATCATCCAAATACTTTTCAAAACTGGTTTAAGCTTCCAAAAACACCTGGTTGTTGCCAAAGACAAAACCAAAATGTTCGTCATTTGGTTTTTCGGCGTCTGAAACAACCAAGTGGTTTACAACTTCTTTTTGTTTGTTTTTATTTCTGGGTACATTTAAATGGTTTCCCAACAAAATATTTCTAAAAACCACCTTTGGCTTTTGGTCTTTGGTCAAAAACCATGAAAATCGTCTTTAACTTAGTGATCCGTGGTTTCTACATTAACAACGCAGTTTTAAAGTTTTTACACTTAGTGTCTACATCAAATAAGTTTTTCCAACACTTGATTTTTAATCAAGGAAACTTTGATATTTTAACATCGGTTTTCAGTGTTGACTGTCAAATCATGGTTCTGGCATCCAGACCAAATAGCAATGTAGGCATACCCAACAACGTTGTTTTGGCCAAGTGTGGGAAACACCAACTTGGGCAGTAGGTTTCAAAACAATGATGTTGGACATTAAACATCGATGTTTTGCCAGGTCTGGAACAATTCAGTTTTGGCAGTTGATTCCAAAGCAGCGGTGCAGGCTATGCTGCATCAATGTTAGAGCCAGAGTTAAGAAAATCTTATTTTGGCAGTAGAGTTTGTAACAGCAATGTTCACCCTTGAACATCAATATTCACTCCTCACCGTTGAAAGTTATTTAAGACAAAATATTTCCTTCTTTAAAAGTCAACATTCATAATAGCGATGTAGGCATTGGAACATCCATGTCCTCGTGACCGTTTGGCTATTCAAAAGGAGAGTCAAATCCAAAACAGCGACGTAGACCAATCTTTGATTTGATTTCCACAAATTAAGCCAATCAACCCCAATCTTCTCCCAACCATTGCACCTTGTTTTTGGGTATAAAAGGGGGTCTCCTGGGTCTACTTTAACACACAATTCTTCACACTTTCATTACCCTTTCATTGCATTGATCATATTCATTTTTCATAGATTTTTGAGAGTCATTTCGTGAAGAGATTGTCGTGTTCTTGAGCGTTATTTATTTTACTCAATATCTACTCTTGAGGAGAGTCGTGTTTTTAAGTGCTTAAGTGTTGTATACACCTTAAGAGAGGTTTGTCCCTTGGTTTTTACAAAGGAAGAGTATATTCCTTCAAGTTGAATTCTTGGAGTGCGACATCTCCTAGCAAGAATCGTTGGGGCTTGTGTAACTCGAGTTCTCAAGTTGTATTCATTTTTTAAGAATCTATAAACTTAACGATGTTAGTAGGACCATCGAGAGAGTCTCTCGTGGGACTAGATTAGCCACAAGTTGTGATGAACCAGTGTGAATTCGGTGTGCCTTTCTTTATGATCTTTACTTTCCGCTCACTTTATTTTTAATTTTCTTATGATTTTTTAAAAATGCTATTCACCCCCCTCTAGCATTGGGCCTTTATTCTGAAAATTGGTATCCGAGCCTTACCTTGTTCCAGACTTAACCATTTGAGAGGAATAACATTATGGGCTCTTCTTCTAAAAATTGGTATGCAGTAATAGGTGAAGGCCAATCAACCTCAAGACCACCACTTTTTGATGGCACCAACTACACTTATTCAGAAGAATGGATGTGGATCTACATTCGTTCTACAAACTTCCAATTATGGATGGTCATCAAAAACAACAAGGAAGTGTCGATGAAAAAAGTTGGTGAAACAACTGTCCCAAGACCGTGGAAAAATTTGATGGCGAGGACATCAAGAAGGTCGAAAACTATGCCAAGGCAATCAACATAATCTATTGCACTGTCAACCTGGATGACTCCTGGAAGATCTCATGTTGCTCCACCGCCAAAGAGATGTGGGACAAACTCAAAGTTACCTATGAAGGTACGGATCAAGTACGTGAAGCCAAAATAGATTTTCTAACCCAAGAATATAAAATGTTCAGGATGAAGAAAAATGAGAAAATCGATGACGTGTTTGATTGATTTTCAAAGATTGTCAATGATCTTCACGGTCTCAAAAAGACGTACGCCAACAAGGACTTGGTTAGAAAAATCCTGCAGAGCTTGACACCGGAATTGCATTCCCTTCTCTATATTAATGCTAGTAGACCTGATATTATGTTAAGCATATGTCTTTGCGCTCGGTATCAATCATGTCCAAAAGAATCACACGTAACGGTGGATAAATGGATTATGAAATACCTTGTGGACACGACTAACTCACCAATCTCTCCTTGTTTGATATTTTAGGAATATTTCTCCCTCTACATAAGTCTTCTTCACAAAATGCTTACCATGGCCAAGGACAAGTTCAAAACCAGAAAGTCTAAGAGAAAATATAAGGGCCAAACCAGCTCCTCTCAGCCCCAATATAACTATTTGGATGGCTCGTTGCTACGGTACTCATGTACCTCGTCAGGTTGGGCTATCAATACCCGATATCGTGACAAGCACAGTAGCAAATCCCTAAGAGTGATCGATGGTCCCCCATAAGACCAACAATCTCCCCCCAGCGACACTCGGGGGATTTGAGCCTTATATATTAATGCACACACATCATATTCTCACTCACCAATCTCTCCTTGTTTGATATTTTAGGAATATTTCTCCCTCTACATAAGTCTTCTTCACAAAATGCTTACCATGGCCAAGGACAAGTTCAAAACCAGAAAGTCTAAGAGAAAATATAAGGTCCAAACCAGCTCCTCTCAGCCCCAATATAACTATTTGGATGGCTCGTTCCTACGGTACTCATGTACCTCGTCAGGTTGGGCTATCAATACCCGATATCGTGACAAGCACAGTAGCGAATCCCTAAGGGTGATCGATGGTCCCCCATAAGACCAACAA